TATCTATCTATCTATCTATCTATCTATCTATCTATCTATCTATCTATCTATCTATCTATCTATCTATCATCATCTCTCTGATATCTATCTATCTATCTTCCATCTATCTATACGCGCACACACAAATAAATATATATATAAACACCATTGCGTTTACTGCACAATTAAAGAGTTTAATTAATTACTTATGCACTTGACCGAATTTCAAGCAGCTCGATTCCCCTTTGAGATCAGCCAAACAATCAAGACTCCAAAATTCCCCAAACGGCCGCTTTGTAAAATACCCGCTCAACTCCCTCTGAACCCAAAACTCTTTCAACCATGAGTATCCAGCTCTATTTTTGTTGTTGTTGTTGCTTAATTAGTCCCACTACAATGTCCCACTGTCCTGGCGCACAATGGAGTCGTCCCAAGCAGCTTCACTTGACGTGGGTTCTGCTTTCTGTGTACTGTGGAGCTTGGGTGGGGGTGGGGAGAATATAAGCTGTTGAGCCACAAAAACAGAAGAAGAAGAGAAAAAGGAGGAGACCCTGTATTCGGAGGAAAGGGGGCTTCATGTTTAAGGGGGCATCATTTCTACCCCACCCAAGCACCCCTTAGCATTCTCTTATGATTCTAAGTAATCTTTCTTCTCCACGGAAGTCGAAGGTGGTTATGTGTGAGGAGGTAACAGAATAATAGAGTTGGAAGGGATCTCGGAGGTCCTCTAGTCCAACCTCCTGGCTCAAGCAGGGGACCCTATACTTATTTCAGACAAATGGTTGTCCAATCTTTTCTTGAAAACATCCAGCGATGGAAGGAAAAAAGGAAGGAAGGAAAGAAGGAAGGAATCCTGTAAGGAACTGAAACATTCTGGTGTTGCTTCTAGCCTATACAGAAACTGCCTCTCTGGTTAACCTTTATTACATTGTAACACCTAAAGCAAAGCGCCCAGCGACGTGAGTGACGTTGAGTTGGCCATGCCCACACAGTCACATGACCATCGAGCCACGCCTACCCAGCTGGCCCTTAAGGCCATTAAGGTTGATAAATTATTTGAATACCACCACTGCCTATCTTCAATGCTGCCTTCCTATCTCCTTGGAAGAGACTCCTGCATCTGGACTGCCCACAAACAGATAAAGGTAGAAAATCCATTATTCCTCCCTTCTGTTTATTTAACGTATTTATAGCTCACCTTTCCAGAATTATTGAGGAAGGCCAGAGGACTAATCCTAGGCAAATACCCTGTAATGACAATTTGCAGTCCTTTTTCCCAGAACGGCAATCCCGGCAGTCCCGTCTACTTCCGCTCTGCGAAATCTTCTTGATCAGAAAAATCCTTTCCCAACTCTAAAGCAATCTGACCAACCTTTGGCCTGGAGATAGTGCCGAAAACCACTGATTCCCAGTTCGTTCCTCCGAGGCACGCCACGAGGGATCCGACTGCAGGCAGTCCTCGACTTAATAGCCATTCACTTAGCGACCGTCCAAATCTGCACTGGCACTGAAAAACTGGGCGTGACCACCGGATCCAAACTTTCTGTTCTTAAGTGAGACCTCTGTGAAGTGGATTTTGCCCCCCCTGTTTTACAACGTTTCTTGCCACCGTTGTTAAGTGAATCTTACTGCAGTGGTTAAGTTAGTGAACCCGGTTGTTAAGCGAATCTGGCTTCTCCGTTGATTTTGCTGTGGTCAGGTTGCCAAAGGGGATCACGTGATACCCGCCTCCCCCCGGAACACTGCAATTCGTTGTAAAAACGAGTCAATTGCCAAGCATCCGACTGTGAGCACACTGGCCCGCATTAAAAACGAAATTCTGCCTGCTCTCAAGAGAAAGTATATATCTACCTATACACATACATAACACACGTGTACACGTGCTATATTCGAGACCCCATAATCCCTTGCGGGGTGGAGTTGGGGCAACTGAATGGAGCTGAGTGTTTACTGGCTGGCTGCCTTTCCTGTTGCCAATGCGGAGTTTTGTTCAGCAGATATATTTCTCATCGTGCCCAGAGAGAGAAATATCTGCCTCTACCTAGGATCGAACTCACAGGTAACGAGGTCGTGAAGAGGATGTGTAGCGTCCCAGGCAACCCTGCTCAAACATCGCTTGCGTGCAGTCGTAAATCACATTGTTCAGTGCCGTTGTAACTTGGAACGGTCGCTAAAGGACCTGTTGTAAGTCGAGGACTATCTGTACGATGACCGGAGCCCAGAAACGGTTTAATTTATTGAATAAAGTGATATTAAGCGAACCGAGTCATCGTCAACGAAGCCGGGGCCTGACAAATCCAGGGCCTGATTCAGCTTCCCAGGTGTTTACATCCCAGGTGATAGAAATGCTGCCTGTGTGGTTTTTTTAAAAATTATTATTTTTTACAGCAATATATTAGGTGGGTCAAAAGCTGACTCAGTAAAGAACGCTTGAGCAAACGGGGGAGAAATAGCTCAAGGGCAGAGGGGGGGCTTCAGTCATTAGAACCTG